ATAATCAGTCAATTTGCAATATACACAATTTATAAAATTTCTAATGAGACTCTACACAGCTGTTGTCCTGCTTTAGTATGAACCACCCGTTGGCTTACACTGGATGCTAAAGCAGTTACCTTCATATTAAACAAGTGTAGTTATAGCCTTGCTTATCTGACATTATTACTGTAAAACAAATAAAAAAAATGTATTAGATTTCGGTTTAACGGCTAAAAGCGTTCTAAGGTTTTGCAGACGTGCCCACAACTATCTTTACAAAATCACAAAGATAAGGCAGTAGATAAGGCAGTAGGCAAGGCTGTAATAAGATGGTCAAGGTGCTGTAAACTTAAATTACTGTGTCCCCATTTTGTCTTTTCCTGAGCAATGATTAACATCTTCCCCTGGCAGTGTCGCGGCTCCTCTCTTAGTGCGGATGGGATCAATACACACTCTCCCGGGGACAAAGTATTGACACTCCCATAAGAAACACTGCACACACTCACACTAAAACACAAATACACCCAGTGTCACACCCAGCCAAGTGCACAGCCAGAGGGACCTTGTCCCCTGAACATGTTGCCACAGGGATAATTTACTGAGCGTGGGAAGACTTTTGGACATCTTTTATACCTTTAATTCATCATTAATCAGGTTTATTGCCAAGTAGGTTTTCACATGCAAGGAATTTGCCTTGGTAAGTTGATGCGTAACAATTAAACATATAAAGATGTATGAAGACAATAGAGACAATAAAAAGATACAATATATATAAATATAAAAAGACAGACAATATGTACAATATGGTCAATTACTGCAAGTTAGCAGTGTTACACATAATGATGTTTGCAATGTGCAAAGATAAAATCAGAGGAAAGTGCATTAATGTAACACATAGATTCAGGATGGGTGGTGGTGAGTCAGAGTCAGTGTCAGTGGGGGTCCCTGTACATGTTGATGAGTCCAGCTGCAAATGGAAATAAAAACTGTTCTTGTGGCGTTAGATGGAAGAGACTCAAAGAGTTTGTCTTCGGGGTGGGAGGGGTCAGCCACACACTGCAGGCCTCATGGTCCTGTAGGTGAGGATTGACTCGATGATGGCGGTGTAAAAGTGCACCATCATCATCTCTGGCAGGTTGAATTTCCTTAGCTGCCACATTCTCTGCTGGGCTTGGTATACCCACTCTCATATGTAACATTTTTACATGTTACAATTTTACATTTCTTTTTTCCATCTCTCTCCTTCCAACTCCATAGTTTGAGTCCCATAATTAAACTGCCTCCCCTTGATTAAGCCACTGTTACCAGTGTGGCGTAATGTGAGTGTAGAACTCACTGCTGTTAAGTTTTGTGGCAATTTAGATGTTTGGCACATCTAGCTACATTTCAGGATAAAAGCATTTATTATACACTATCATATTATACAATGTGAATATTTTACCCTGAATAAAGAAAATCCCAAAAAGAATGGATGTCCAAAAATGTTCTATAGGCCTATCATACTTTGTAAAGAAAAAAGCTACTTGAGGAAAGGAGAGAAGAAGAGGAGAGAAAAAGATTTGTAACTCCTCCTCTGTCTAGTACTAGTGTCTCTCTCTCCCATCATCTCCTCCTTTCCTGGTCAGTGGAAAATAAATCAGTATGGCTCATTTATCTTTGTCTCTGTGTTTGGTCTCTGTTTTCTGTGTCTCTCTCCTCATTTTTTCCCCCATTTTTTTAGGTGGACAGGTTTCTGCACGCCATGCGTCTCCATGACGACCAGCTAAAAGACATCTCAACTCGTTTCCAGGCTGAAATGAAGAAGGGGCTTTCATCGGAAAGTAACGCCGCAGCAGCGGTGAAGATGCTACCGACACATGTCCGCTCCACTCCTGATGGAACAGGTTACTCACATTAATGGGTTTTAAACTTGTAGTTAATGTATTCTGAACAAACATATAATACGTACACAACATAGATACAGGACAATACATAATATATTGTTGACTCTCTTCTGGGCTCCTGCAGAGAAAGGACAGTTTCTGGCATTGGATCTTGGAGGCTCCAAGTTTAAGGTGCTCCAAGTTAAAGTGAGAGAGGGCATGGGGATTCGGAGGGGGGGAGTGGAGATGGAGGAGAAGACCTACCCGATGCCTAAGGAGCTACTCATTGGGAGAGGAATAGAGGTATGGGGGAGAGGTGGAGACACAGGAAACATGGACACTGAAAAAGCAGAGGGACAAGGGAAGGTGGGATTCTAGTGGGAACAGAAAAGGCATGTAGGAGCTACATAGATTCTCCACCTTCTTCTTGACCTTCTCTCCCTTTCTGTCTGTAGCTATTTGACCATGTGTCAGAGTCACTGAAGGACTTCCTGTATCAGAAGAACATCAGTTTGGAGAAGAAACATCCCCTAGCCTTTACTTTCTCTTTTCCCTGTGAACAAGCCACCTTGAATCAGGTAATGACACTCTGTACCCATCCTTCTGGTTTCCCTGCACCTGCAGTATATGTTACTGTGTGTATTTTCTTTTCCTATTCCCTTTCTTTCTCTGTAGGGATTTTTGTTAAACTGGAGCAAGAACTTCCGGGTTCGAGGCCTTCAGGGTAAAGACGTGGTCCAAGCCCTCAGAGAGGCTATTGAGAGAACTGGGGTAGGACGCCCGAATTCACTAGATTATACATAAACTACTATTACTTTATCAGACATGACTTTTGATGAGGAGCTCACTCTAGTGTGATCACTTAGAAGACTGCACTTTTTCTGAAAAACTTAATTCAGTGTACAAACTGCACTGTAGTTGGTGTTACTTTAACCTTTCAACTTGTAACTGTAAACTGTAAATCCCTCTGCAGGGTATGGATGTAGAGGTGTTAGCCATGGTTAACGACACTGTAGCAACCATGATGACCTGCGGTTTTGATGACCAGTACTGTGAAGTAGGACTCATCATCGGTGAGTACGTTCATCTTTAGAGTGGATATCATTAGATTCATACAATTTACTATAACTGTTTGAGGCAGTTAACAACTGAAGCTGTAAACTACTTTGTAGTTACTACTGTGCTTTGACGTGTGTGTATCTGTGTGTGTGTGTGTGTGTGTGTGTGTAATGACAGATAAACTCTTTATAATCTCTTGTAATGTTTTATCCTCATCTTTGTGTCAGTTTTCTCTTCCACAATCATTCTCTCTGTATATGTAGCTTACTGTACAGGGGGTGGACAACAACTGATCATATTATGATATATATAATATGAAACATATAATGAGACCTTCATAAATATTTGTTGTGCACCTTTATCTGACCAAATCTGACCTGGCATCACAAATAACTACATAGAAACAGAAATCAGCCACTCTAGTGTGGTCTGGTTTGCTTATGTAGGTCATGTAGAAGCATCAGTGTTAAATTAAGACTGTTTAAAAGTCCTTGTTTCACCGTCTTAATGCATGTGTGTGAGTGAGTGTGTGTTTTGTGTGCATGGTTTTGTATGCTGTGTTTGAACCATTTTTACTTTTTTGAGTGGAGACATATTCAAAAGCTAGGTTAATAGTTGCCAGTTTTAAATATAGTTCATGTAGGACTAGGAAATCATTTTAAGGGCAATTCAGGTTTAACACCCTCTTTTCTTTTAACAGTACAAATATATCCTGTGTGTTTGTGTGTTTAGGTACTGGCACCAATGCGTGCTACATGGAGGAGCTGCGTCACGTTGACCTGGTGGAGGGAGACGAGGGCAGGATGTGTGTAAACACTGAGTGGGGGGCCTTCGGTGAGGATGGGGCTCTGAATGACTACATTACTGAGTTTGACAGGGACGTCGACGCAACTTCCAGCAACCCTGGAAAACAAATGTGAGGAAAGCAGCTTTTCTCACGATATGACATGATATGACACGGTATCAGCCTTAAACTCCTCTGTTTCTGTTTTCCTTCCGAATTGTAGCTTTGAGAAGATGGTCAGTGGGATGTATCTGGGTGAGTTAGTGAGGCTGGTTGTATTAAAGATGGCTAAACTTGGACTGCTGTTTGATGGACATGTGTCTGATGCCCTGAGGACTAAAGGGAAGATAACCACTGCACATGTGGCAGCCATGGAGAAGTAAGCTGTCTTTCTTTCTTATGTCTGTCTGTCTGTTTCACACTCCCTCTGTGTGAGAACAGGTGATAACATACATGTCTATTTCAGTTACAAAGATGGTCTGAAGAACACCAAGAACCTTCTCACGGACCTTGATTTGACCCCATCATCTGATGACTGTGTTGCTGTTCAACATGTCAGCACCATAGTCTCCTTCAGGTCCTCAAATCTGGTGGCTGCAGCACTGGCGGCCATCTTGAGCCGAATTAAGCAAAACAGGAATTTGAGGACATTAAGGATCACTGTAGGTGTCGATGGAACGGTGTACAAGACACACCCACAGTAGGTTATTATGTAAATATTCTCCAGAAATTACATTCATATGCCAGTGTTGCACATCAGTAGGCCTTTTACATGGAAGACATTTTGACATGTGACAGTAGGAAAAGCACAGGTATAAATAATAAAATTAATTACAGCTGAAAGTAACTTTAGTCATATAGTTTGAATGCAATTAGAGTACTATGTTAAATTTTGAATGAATTGCAGATAGTTGTAATATAAATCCACCTAATCTAATACATCATAAAACAGCTTAAATTATATTTATGGGTTCTTATTTGCTAAATCATCACTGTGCCAGACTTCTACATTGGGAAATTACAGTAGTGATGTTGTTTCAGCTGCTACAGATCACAAATAGAGGTTTAACATTAGACTCCTTCCATTTTAGGTATCCTAAACGTCTCCACAAAGTTGTGCGCCGGTTGCTTCCTGAGTGCCATGTCAGATTTGTCCTCTCAGACAGCGGCAGCAGCAAAGGAGCCGCCTTGGTAACAGCAGTCGCCCAACGACTGGCATCACGAAGGCGACAGGTTAGGATGCTGTGTGTGTTTCTGTGCTGTATGTGATGTGTGTCTTCACAAAGTATACACAGTTTATCCTCATAGATGCTATCGTATCTGATATTGTCTTACTTGTACTCCAGGTGGATGAGACACTGTCTCCCTTCAGACTGAGCCAAGAGCAGATGCAGTTGGTAAAGACCAGAATGAGGGCAGGGCTGGAAGCAGGGCTGAAGAGTAAAGGCCCCTCGACTATCAAGATGCTGCCTTCTTTTGTGTACCGTACACCTGATGGCAATGGTCAGAAACTAAAATGAAACCCATAATTCATTGTCAGAATTTCGTTCAGCTTCTCCCAGAGACATCTTTGTCAAAAAGAAAGTTTTTAAAAGTTTAAAAACTGATCATCAATATGCTAATTTGGCGTATTTTTTAGAGCATGGGAAGTACCTTGCCTTGGATCTTGGAGGAACAAACTTCAGAGCATTGCTGGTGAACTTTAAAAAAGGACTGCAACAAAACTCACGACTTTACCATAAGATCTACACCATACCACTGGAGATAATGCAGGGCACTGGAGAAGAGGTAGGACATTTTGTTGGAGTGTTAATACACAAAAAAGACTAGCAGTGGACAGCCCATCTGAAACTAGGACAGATGAAAAGTTAATATATATTTTAATCACTGTGCAGAAAGATCATCATGTTGTCTAACCATAATTGACAATTCTTTCATTAGAAACTCTTCTTTCTCCATCTCTCTGTCTGTCTGTAGTTGTTTGATCATATAGCGCAGTGTGTTAGTGACTTCCTGGACTACATGGGGATGAAGAATGCTCATCTTCCTGCAGGCTTCACCTTCTCTTTCCCCTGTGAGCAGACAGCTATTGACACAGTAAGTGTGGACGTCAGATTGTGGATCTTGGGCTTAGTTACAATCACAGAAAACTCTTTTTCATAGAAATGCCAACCAATGATCAATCAATCAATGAAGTTATTCAGAAGATAAATACAGAGTGAAAATACACAATTCAACAGACACCAAAAGTAAAAAAAATAGATATGTTGTAACCCTTTTCAACCTTTGTATGTTCTGTAGGGCACATTGGTGAGCTGGACCAAAGGTTTCAAGGCCACTGACTGTGAAGGACAAGATGTTGTCAGCATGCTGAGGGAGGCCATCAAGAGACGCAATGTAAGTCAAAACACAGCAGAATAGAGTTTTATAAAGATGACATGGGTTATGTAAGATGAATTTGAAAGAATAATGCTGTAATATTCAACAAACAGAACAAATTAAAATTATAATGACAAATGATTAAACATCCTTTGATAAAAGTCCAGACTCACTATTTCTTACATACTATAAAGCAGTGGTTCTCAAACTTTTTGGTGTCAAGGACCCCCAAATTGATACACATCTGGCTGCTGCTGTAGAGTACATTATACTGAGTCATGCACTTAATATCTGCCCTTAAGAAAGCAGCTTTAATAACAGTTATCCTGCAATAATTGAACCATATAGCAGCATGTACATTATGTTGTGTGTTTGTACCTGTAGGAGTTTGACTTGGACATTGTAGCAGTAGTCAATGACACAGTCGGGACCATGATGAGCTGTGCCTATGAAGACCCACAGTGTGAGATTGGACTGATTGCTGGTATGTGACTTTACATTTGTTTCACATTTTGGCCAGTCGTCGCTTAGTTGTGGGCTTTTTTCAAGTATAGGTCTTTGAATGAAGGCTTGAATTATGTCTAGGATTTTGGTCAGCCATGTAATTATGGTGGTTAATTCCTCACTCACCACTCAGGGTCTTCACAAGTACTACTTGTGTGTGTTGCGGCTGCAACTGCTCACCACAAACCTGTTGCTTAAGCACACGGGATTTTCTCTCTAAACATAAGTTTGACAGGCAGGGCATATTTTGAATGCTTGCTTTATTGTAGTTGTTTTTATTTTATTTTTATGTTATATTATTATTTATTATCTATTTTTTTATTTAAGACATAAATCAACAATGTGATTCTGTTATACAGGAACTGGCACTAATGTTTGTTACATGGAGCAACTGAAGAACATTGAGAAGACTCAAGAAAAGACAGGAAAAGTGGAAAGAGAAGAGGGGGAGCCTGAAGGAGAGGAGGATAAGGTAGAAGAAATCTTATAAAATGCTCACAGTGTTTACTTTGTCAGCGAGCTGTGGTGATTTATAGTTAAATTAAGTTTTAAATTGATAACTCACATATTTACCCCCCTCATTTGTTTCTGCTTCCAGCAGGATGAAGGGTCGGAAGGAGAGAAAAAAGAGGGGGATGCTGACATATCAAAGATGTGTATAAACACAGAGTGGGGAGGTCTGGGTGATGATGGCTCTCTGGATGACATCATCACACCTTATGACATTGAGGTGAACCAAAACTCAATCAACCCTGGAAAACAAAGGTTAGAAACACTCACCGTGTGTGTGTGTGTGTGTGTGTGTGTGTGTGATCTGTTGAGCTGTTCACAAACAAGTAACTTGATCAGTTGTTCACACAGTCTTGGTGGATCGAACAAATAATATATGTCTTTGTGAGTGTGCAGGTTTGAAAAGCTGACCAGTGGGATGTATTTAGGAGAAGTTGTCCGTCAGGTATTGTTGGATTTAACCAGAGGAGGTTTGCTGTTCAGAGGACACGTCACTGAAGCTTTAAAAACACCTGGGATATTCCAAACCAAATACCTGTCCCAAATAGAGAGGTACGAGTATGTTTATGTAAGGCTCAGATAAATTACAATTCCACAGAATAAACCATTGTTCAATGATGATTTTTTAAATGATTCCTCCATCCTACCACACACATACACTTTTTTACTGATGTGTAACTGTCTCCCCCTAGTGACCGCCTGGCTCTACTGCAGGTCAGATCTATCCTCCAACAGCTGGGACTGGACAGCACGTGTGAGGACAGCATCATTGTCAAAGAGGTAGGAAATAGAAAACGATGAGCAACACTGTGTCATGTTCAAGCTTTGAACCAACTTGTAGACCGGTGTGTTTTTGAAGTAAAATGCAATTTAAGGGACATAATCTACTCCAGTCAAATTTAGTGTTTTATTAAATTGTACCTGACAGAAAGCAATTGTCTTTGATATTTTGCCATTAATAATAGTCATTTATTTCAGTCAGTTATTTACTAATCTATTTTAGCCTCCCACAGTCTGACTATATCGTACAAGTTCAGAACTTTAATCAATAGGCCCGATTACACTCTGAACCAGTAGTCTTCTTTACAGCACATACTTTTATAGTTGCAGGAAAAATGATTGAACTGGCACACCTAAATACAATGCAGCCATCATTAATGTTATTAGTTACACATGCGTTTTTTGTTTTCACATCAATAATATACCATTATAAAGGCAGTAGTTTAGCAGACTACAGGCACTCTATATCAACTTGTTAACAACAGTCAAAAGTAAGTGTTTACACGTATGAATTCTGCAACTCTTCTTGTCTCAAATGCCAGAGAGAGGTTAAGAGTTTAAATGTTGAAACACCACAATGCCCAGAAAATCAGGCTCTCTGTTGCAACCTCACTTTGGGATTCTGAGGAGGATATGATATTTTCTGGCTCAGCAAACTGTGGCACCAACAGCCTGTTAAGTGTTGCAATAATGATAATGGCGGTCATTGTGATACAGGTATGTGGAGCGGTGTCACGCCGTGCAGCTCAGCTGTGTGGGGCAGGAATGGCAGCCGTGGTCGATAAGATCAGAGAGAACCGAGGACTGGACCATCTGAACATGGACCTCTGAGACATTACTGTAGGGGTGGACGGGACTCTCTACAAACTACATCCACAGTAAGTTGAATTTGTCAGTAACTGACCGTACACAACTTTTCACTGTCCTCTGAAGTGCCTAAAAACAATGGTACATATGGTGACTAGGCCACTTTATAATATAGTGAATTGACTAGACTAGACTGGACTACGGTCTAGTACATCCAATGACACATTCACCTTAGTTACATGACAACTCTATTTGATAAATGTCATCCCAAATTGCTATGCAGAAGACTTGCAAATGCACACAAAGACAGGCCTGAGCAGTTGTGGACAGCAGTGATGGGAAGAGCTGCAGGCAATTGTAGCTCAGCAAACAACAAGCTACCTTTTATGTTTTATTTGTCATCCCCAGCAATCTCATGATAGATACAACTAAACTGTGGTTGATGTTGAGCCTCTGAACGCATTTGGCAGAATATCACAAAATTTTTTGGTCATGGTCATGTGTTCTATCAATTAATGTAACAATAAATAAATGTTCAGATACTGATGATCCACTAAGTCTTAAATAATCAAACCAACAATGTCTTGTTAATTTAATTAACTTTGAGCCAAAGGTTTATTATTGGCATATGGAATACATGTCTAATGTATTATTGCATGCAGATCATGTTGAGTCATGTTAGTTAGGGGCTGATAAAGTACAGAATGTGCTGACAGTTGCGCAATAAAAGAGAAAGACATGAGGTTGAATTAAATCTTTCACTCCAACTCCTTTTTCTTATCATGTTTATGACGTCACAGACAAATTGCCAAATTCTATCCTTTTTTTACCATCACCAGCAATCACATTCATGCTAAGCTAACATAACCTGAAGAACCTGTCCCTTATTCAAACAGCTCTTACTGTTTACTTGTTAAACATGTACGTCTATCTGACTCACTGTAGTTTTTAGAGGCAAAATCCCCATCAGCTCAAAGTTGCATTTCTATTTTGCTCCAATGTTCACCACTTCACTCTTAAACATTATGTCAAATCTTTTGTCTCTGTCTAGTTTCTCTGGGATCATGCACCAGACAGTAAATGAACTGGCTCCTAAGTGTAATGTCAACTTCCTGCTGTCAGAGGACGGCAGTGGGAAAGGAGCAGCACTCATCACAGCCGTGGGCTGCCGGCTGAGACAGGAGCTGAACAATAAATAGAAAATATCTCTTCTGTCTTACTGTTATCACCCCACTCCATAAGGTTGCCCCTCTCTCCCTCCCACTGTTCTTCCCCCTTGCCTTCTTTCCTCAATCAAACCATTCAAGTCAACATTCTCCTGTAGCTGCTTTAGCCTGTGTACATGACTGAAAGAGAGAAGGCGATAGCTTTCTCTGCTGTGTTGAGAAGCAGAGCGCCCGGCACTATGTTGTAGTTAGATTATGTTTGATTAACCATTGTAACAACACCCAGACTCTTAAGGGTTTTGCAGTTTTGTGATTTCTGAGGTTAAACTTATCACTGAGATAAAACGAGAACATTCAACTCCTGTAAAAATGTGCAGGGTAGGAAAGAGTCCACACGCTCCTGTAATGCTCCCATGAGCTGCATATCATCGCCATCTAGAGGATTCATCTGATAACTGCAGTCTGTCACAATATTCCAAGTGCAACAGTTGCAAGGCAATTTCCATAAGCACTGCAGAAAAACATTTATCCTTGCAACATGTTCAGTAGATGCAGGGACATCTTAAACACTGTTTCAGACCAAAGTCACCAAATTGTGTCCACTGTAGGCTACTGACTGACATAAAAGGGATATGAAGGGATATATAAACGTGTAATGAGATGTAAGGGAATATTTTTGCTTTAAGGTTTTTAATATCTTACCCAGATATAATACAATATGTTATTCATACATTGTTGCTATTTATTTTATTTTTATATTGGGAGATGTTACTGTTGCAATATAATGAGGCGCACAGAGGAAGCCATCGCCAAAGTCCCCTCAGCTGATATCAGGGTTTAAACCAAATCAGTGCTGAGACGTGACAAAAGAGGGACTCAAACAAGCTTTATCTGCAGGGAAAGCCATACCATATGCTTGCTGAATGTGCAGATTTGGTCTAATTTATAGCAATCCGACTGTACTACAATGTACTCTACTGTAAAATATGTACAAAGAGCACTTGTATTTTACTAAGTAGAAATCTTGTTGGTACTAATAGCAGCTGTTGATAAGTTGTTATTGTCTTAAGAAGTACTGGTTACTCTCATCATCACAACGACACTTGCCAGTTACTGAGCAACAGCCTTGAAACAGGAATGTGGTGCTAACATGGATGCCAGTGGAACAACAATGGCCAAACTGTGTATAAGAATATTACAGTAGCTGAAACTTTAAGGGGAATTTAAACATTTTGAGAATAAAGCTTATCCCTACTCACCCACTCCATATGCTCCTAAAGGCCCAGGGGGGTGTTTAAGTGAACTACTGTATAACTCATTCAAGTAACACAATTCATGCAAAGTCATAAATATTTATTTTTTTCTTTAATAAAATCAAATAATCATATTATTGTTGTTAATAATTCTCACTGAAAGAAGATGGATTTGTTCACTGGCAGTTTTTCATTTTAGATGCTGTTTGTTGTTTTTAATCCTAGACTACAAAAAGACAAATGTTTTTAAATTTAGGGTTACTTGGCACTTGTTGTGCAAGGATGCATCTTTGAAATGCTACAATACAGTTCACTGCCATCTTTGTTAACCACAGTTAAAATCCTGACCTGTGGGGACAGATTAGCACAAACCCAACCTGAAGCTAAACTGCCAAGATAAAGAGGGCAGCCTCTTCAGCGGGTCCTAAGGTACCCTGACTTTAGACTTTCCCCAGAGTAGTCAGCCTGAAAGCCAGCTCCACATCACACAGGCACTTTAATCTCTTTTCCTCTGTTCACAAAACCCAGACTGTATCTGTCCAACACTGTCAATCAATCAGTCACGAAATAAAGACAAATCTGTGTCAATCTGATGTTGCAGTTTTTTTTACACTCATGTATGTCTAGATCCTGTTTAGTGGTATTGTAAGTGTATTCATAGATCAAGCAGAGTCCTGAGGTCACAACCTGCGCTCAAAGCAGCATAATAGCTCTAGCTACCATGGCTGATGTTAAACATGTTACTACTCAGCAATCAATTCCCACAGCATTGAGAATTGTTTAAAAGCACCACTTAGCTCATTAAGACTTTACAAAGGAGGCCCGGTTGGGAAAGGTTATTCAGCAGGTGTCAAATTTGACTAATTACTGTAGTTTTTTGTCAAACATCATTGCTGACCATTTTGAATCTGTGCAGTCTCTTGGGGACAGGTCACAATTCTATTTTAACTCCGTATAGAATTGACCCACTTAATTGCTGCAGAATGAGATAAGTAAATTATTGTTCAATATGTGTTTGTTTAGGATCCCTATAATCTAATGCCAAAATCATCTACAGGGTGTTGTGGATTTCATGTGGGATAGGGAAGGTTGTGTTGTTCTAGTCTAATCAAAAAGAACTATTGAAATCATCAGCTGAGAGGCTCTGTATTGTACTCTAACTTGCTTAATTGACTTAAATGAATGTTGCTATCAAACCTTGATTCTCCTCAAAAAGTGCTGACCTGACTTTCATACGGCTGCCATTTTCAGCAGGTTATTGGTTCAGCAGCTCCTCTTTACCAAGTCTACCCAACCCAAGCTCTGAAAAAGTTCCTGAACTTCCTGCTCCTCAAGAACACTGTAACAGCCCTGAGGTGTTTGAATACGTTTTTTTTTTGGCCCCTTAACAGGGTGTCAAGAACCGGAAAAATGTAGCTGCTCAATAAACTGTAGGAAGGTTGCATATATAGCCACACTCACCCTCAGAATAAAGACTGAAGCCAAATAGGTTGTCTAGAGCACAGCTGAAGGACCACTGCACACACATACATATACTGTCACATTTATTTAACATATTATCAACTTTTAATTAGGCCACAGATGTTTCAACGTGTTACTGTGTGTTTTTAAACGTCAACCGTTACAAAGATTGAAAAGGGTTTTCCCTATATACTAAAATGTCAACACTAACAGGCTACAGCATTTACAACATCATGTCCCAACTGTACATGTATTTACCCATATTTTCATTACCACGCAATAAGCATATTTTAATAGACTCAATAGATTACAATGTTACATTTCACACCAAATTTCTCTAGCAGCACTTTGATTTTTTTAATCTGGACTCTACTATACACTGACCATAAAAAGATTACAGTTAAATGAACCAGTGAAATTATAATATATGAGCAGTCATACTGTATGACTGTACATTATGTGACTAATGTGTGAAAGGAATAGTACTGTACAGTAACAATATGCTAACCATATAACTAATAATGAGGCAGATCCAGCCAATTTTGTGAAATAAGGTCAAGTAAAGGTTTTTTTTTCTTTTAAAGTGTTTAATTATCAGTTATGTTCAGAAAATGTTTAGTATACTCTTACTCCAGTCAGTCCATACTGACCCCTGCTGCTCCACATAAAGTTACACAATCATGTTGCATCCTGTGTTATAGCAGAAATAGTAATTTCTGTGTCTGTTAAATATGTGCTGCAAGTTGGAATTTAACTTATCATTACACCAAAACATCTTGCATGAGATGCTTGAGCTGCATCACTGCTGAAAACAGCTCTAAGGTTTTTCAGGTGATTTAAACAAATTAAACCATCTCTATCATATTCCATTCCTGCCAATAAATCCTCTGAAACGTTACACACTGGACCTTTAACTGCTGATTTTATACCACAGAGCTTCTCAGACAGAACTACATGAACTGATCTGCTTAATTGCAGAGATGCCGCCTTCTTAAAAGTCTTTTATTAAATTGCCACTCCCAGACTAACTATGTGATAACCTGCACCTGGTCCAGAAGTGAAATAGCAAATGTCCATTTTAAGCCCTTTAAAATCCAATGTATGGGACAGTAAGAAAGGAAACAAACAACAAAAACAACAATATTAAGGCTTGGTGCTGATGCCAGTGGACTGTTCATCCGTTGTATGTTCTTGAAAACCAGTAACCACAGAAGAAAACTCTACAGTTACACACAAATATCCACACTTACTTACAGATTACAGATTATTTCCAAAGGAGGACATAAAATTGCCAGCAATGGAAGAAAGGATGTAGAGAATGGAGGGAGGAGGAAGTAGAAGAAATGAATGATGGACAGATTTATCTTCAGACTTTGCCACAAACACAAACACTTACAAGAATAATAAGCCTCTCCTGCTGTTCAATATGCAGGTGTAGTTTCTTCCATTTATAACTGTTTTCAGATACTCATATGACCACTTTGGCATTAACAGCAAAACATCCATCAGCTTGATAGTCACATTCATTCATGTGCCTTTTCGAAGTTTTCCACATGGAGGAAGATCACAACAGTTTGCTCCAGAGTTTGTTCACTAAAGAGAAACACTGTTGCCTTCCCATCAAGAATGTCCTTGTGATGATCTCAGTTGTCAGTGTGTGTGCTGCATAAGTTTGGCAGCTGAGGATTTTGCATCGTCCAGCCTCTTCCCCACATGTGTGTTGTGTGTGCTGTAGGTTTTTGATGATGTCTGTTTTCTAAGCTGCATGCAGGCATCTCTCTCTGTGTTCAGCTCAGTGCTGACAGCCACGTTTGTGTCAAAGGTGTTGTTTGTCTTGACGGAGGTGTGCACGTATGTACTGTCATTGCGGTGGCTGCGTGTCATGGTGACTCTGAAGGTGTGTGTGTGCTGCAGTTCCATCCTGTCCTCCTCTGACACTTTGATGAAAGGACACCAAGCAAACGCATGACGGAAACCAGCACGAAACCTGCAGAAAGATGGGAGAATTGTTTTTTTGCCTCGAGTTTTGGGATAGTGAAGTTTCTGGGTGTGAATATGCCTTTTACCTTTGGTTCAGACAGCAGTAAATGATGGGGTTGTACATGGTCGAGCTCATCGCCAACCAGAAGATGGCCAGATACACCTGACAAAGAAAGGAAACATGATGCCCAGTAAATGAATAAATTTGACTAAAAAGGATTAATAACAGCCCGAAAAACAGCTGCTAACCTGTTGAATGTAATGTTGTTTATAAATGTCCCTGTTAAATGATCCAAGTATGAAGTAGATGTGGTAGGGCAACCAGCACAGGGCAAAGGTCACCACCACGACAACCATCATCTTCACCACCTATGAGGAATAACAGAGAGAGGGAAAGTAAGTCAATATTACCATGTTTTAAATTCCAGTCTAATACCACTGAGTTCAGTTCAAATTTCAGCTATATTTAACCCAGGTTATCTGAGCCTTTTATAACAGTGAGGGTGACACATAAAAGATCAGGCAGACTTATAGTTTCTGACAGTAGAAAAATAAACATGTGTGACCTTTCTCTTGGCTGTTATCTGGCTGTGGTAATGGTCTGTCGCCTCTCCGGGGATGTGCCCACCCCACAGTGATCGGCCAACTAAACTGTAGGTCACCAGCATCACCAGCAGAGGGAGCAAGTAGATCAGCAATATGAGTGCAAACTGGTAACTGCAGGAGAAAGAGTAAACTGGTAACTCATATGGTGCTTAACAGTATAAGGGTTTACTAACATGAATGATTAATGGAAAAATGTTTAATGGTTGTGAGCACTTGACATACAACATAGCTTGCTTTACTTTTAAACCAACCACATTTACAGCATTTAAAAGTAAAGACACTTTAGCTTGTAAAATGGGAGATAATCATAACCCTTTATAAAAAGTAATCAAACCTGCAATTACAAGTGTTTAAGTCAGTAGTAAATAGTATTGTATTATTGTATTATACATATATATATATATATATATATATATATATATATATGCATATATGCCTTATTGTGTCAAATGTC